AACTTGAATTTTGAATCTATTCGAATCCCAACCCCGTTGACTTTTTTTTTCTAATACATTGAATTTGTTTAATTTATTTAAATGTGTGACCTCAGGTGCGAGGGAAGTTTTGTTTAAATAACTTTGGGTCAATTTTTTGAATAAATTCACCAACTTTAAAGTTAATGTATTGTCGAAATTTCGAAAATGTTATACATACAGGGTATTTCTTTTATTTGATACAACCCCTGTTACTATTTTATTCTTAAAGATAAACCTGTAGTTTTTTGAGCAACTGTATCATTTTAAAAGATCTATGTGATGGCAACCTCACATCTTTATTATCACTTCCGGTAGAACCGGAAATGACGTCAACTTGATTTTTATTTATGGAACACTAGGTATATTTTTTCAGAAATCAAAAGATTGATTTTTCTAAAAAATCAAAATCAACCAATACTCTAAAATCAATATTTAAAAAGTATTCAATAAAATAGATGAAAAATTCATATTTATTGATGACAATCTAATACATAGCTTGAAAAATTGAGACTCATGTCATTTATTCGCATAAGTGATCATTTAAAATAAATTTGCTCAAACAACTGTATATTTATCTTTAAAAATAAAAATTGGTCCAAAGTTATTTCCACAGAATTTCCCGCGCTTCTGAAGTACAGTCCAACAAATACTAATTCTCTGAAAAATTATAAAATTTGATTTTGCTGGATTTTATTTTTTTGTTATAACCTCTATGTAATAGGAAAAAAGACATTTGGGAACCCCGAGAAGATTTCGCCTTCTTTAAAAAAGGATAGTTGGTACTCCCGAGAAGGTTTCACATAGTTAAAAACAGACAGTTGGGATCCCCGAGAAGGTTTCCCAGTCTTAAAAAAACATTTGGCGTCCCCGAGAAGGTTTAACAATTTTACAAAAGACAATTTGGACCCCCGAGAAGGTTTTATATTTTTTAAAAAGACAGTTGAGATCCTCGAGAAGGTTTCACATTCTAAAAAAAAGATTTGGCGCCTCCGAGAAGGTTTTACATTTTTAAAAAAGACAGTTGAGACCCTCGAGAAGGTTTCACAATTTAAAAAAAAAATACATTTGGGGCTCCCGAACAGGTGTTACATTTTTAAAAGACAGTTGAGATCCTCGAGAAAAAAAAAGATTTGGTGCCCCAGAGAAAATTTTACATTTTTAAAACAGACAGTTGGAACCCCCGAGAAGCCTTAACATTCTAAAAAAAAAGATTTTGCGCTTCTGAGAAGAGGGTTCACATTCTTTAATATATAGATTTGGGGCTTCCGAGAAGGTTTTACATAAAAAAAGACATTTGGCGCCCGGGAGAAGCTTTTAGATTTTTAAAAAAGACAATTGAAACCACCGAGAAGGTTTCACATTAAAAAAAGACATTTGGGGCTCCTGAGAAGGTTTTACAGTTTTACATTTTTAAAAGACAGTTGAGATCCTCGAGAAGGTTTCACATTCTAAACAAAAAGATTTGGTTTTCCCGAGAAGATTTTACATTTTGAAAAAGGACAGTTGGAACCCCCGAGAAGCTTTAACATTCTAAAAAAAAAAAAAAGATTTTGCGTCTCTGAGAAGATTTTAGAATTTTAAAAAAGACAGTTGGAACCCCCGAGAAGGTTTCATATTCTAAAAAAAAAACATTTTCCGCCTCTGAGAAGATTTTACAATTTTATAATATTTGGGGCTTCGGAGAAGGTTTTACATAAAAAAAGACATTTGGCGCCACGGAAAAGGTTTTACATTTTTAAAAAAGACAGTTGATACCCCCGAGAAGATTTCACATTAAAAAAAGACAGGGCTCTCGAGAAGGTTTTACAGTTTTACATTTTTAAAAGACAGTTGAGATCCTTGAGAAGGTTTCACATTCTAAAAAAAAGATTCGTGCCCCCGAGAAGATTTTACATTTTTAAAATAGAGAATTGGGACCCCTGAGAAGAGGAGGGTTCACATTCCTAAAAATATACATTTGGGACTTCCGAGAAGGTTTTACATTAAAAAAAAAAGACAGTTGAGACCCCCGAGAAGGTTTCACATTCTTAAAAAAAGACATTTGGCGCCCCTGAGAAGGTTTTACATAGTTAAAAAAGGCAGATGGCACCACCGAGAAGGTTTCACATTAAAAAAAAAAAAAACAATTGGGGCCCCGGAGAAGGTTTTACATTTTTAAAAAAGACAGTTGGGACCCCAAGAAGATTTAACATTAAAAAAAGACATTTGGGGCTCCCGAGAAGGTTTTACAGTTTTACAATTTTAAAAGATAGTTGAGATTCTCGAGAAGGTTTCACATTATAAAAAAAAGATCTGGTGCTCTCGAACAGATTTTACATTTTTAAAAAGACAGTTGGAACCCCCGAGTAGATTTAACATTCTAAAAAAAAAAAGATTTTGCGCCTCTGTAAAGATTTTACGATTTTAAAAAAGACATTTCGAACCCCTGAGAAGTGTTCACATTCTTAAATATATACATTTGGGCATTGCGAGAAGGTTTTGACATAAAAAAAAGACATTTGGCGCCTCGGAGAAGGTTTTACATTTTTAAAAAAGACAATTGAGAGCCCCGAGAAGGTTTCACATTAAAGAAAGACATTTGGGACTCTCTAGAAGGTTTTACAGTTTTACATTTTTAAAAGACAGTTGAGATCCTCGAAAAGGTTTCACATTCTAAAAAAAAGATTCGCGCCCCCGAGAAGATTTTATATTTTTAAAATAGAGAATTGGGACCCTTGAGAAGAGGAGGGTTCACATTCCTAAAAATATACATTTGGGACTTCCGAGAAGGTTTTACATTAAAAAAAAAGACAGTTGAGACCCCCGAGAAGGTTTCACATTCTGAAAAAAAGACATTTGGCGCCCCCAAGAAGGTTTCACATTAAAAAAAAAACAATTGGGGCCCCGGAGAAGGTTTTACATTTTTAAAAGACAGTTGGAATCCTCGAAAAGGTTTCACATTCTAAAAAAAAAAGATTTGGTGCCTCCGAGAAGATTTTGCATTTTTAAAAAAGACAATTGGGAGCTCTGAGAGGTTTCACATTCCTAAAAATATACATTTGGGGCTTCCGAGAAGGTTTTACATAAAAAAAGACAGTTGACGCCCCTGAGAAGGTTTTACATTTTTAAAAAAGACAGTTGAGACACCCGAGAAGGTTTCGCATTCTTAAAAAAACATTTGGCGCCCCTCTGAAGGTTTTCCATTTTTAAAAAAGACAGTTGGGACCACCAAGAAGGTTTCACATTAAAAAAGACATTTGGGACCCTCGAGAAGTTTTTTTATTTTTAAAAAAGACAATTGGCACCCCAGAGAAGATTTCACATTGTTAAAAATATACATTTGGGCCTTCGAAAAGGTTTCACATTTTTAAAAAAAGACATTTGGCGCCCCCGAGAAGGTTTTACATTCTTAAAAAAGACAGTTGGGACCTCCGAGAAGATTTCACATTCTTAAAAAAAGAATTTTGGGGTCCCCGAGAAGATTTTAAAAAAACATTTTGCGCGTTCGATAAGGTTTTACATTATTAAATAAAGAGGGACGTATTCTCATCTTTCCAAGAAAGTGGGGTAATTTTATCAATAAAAAATTTGTTTAGACCTCATGAACATGATAATGCACAATGCGAGATAAAAAGAGAAAAAAAAAAGGAAAAAAACTAAAAGCCAAATTTGGAATCGAACGGGTGACGTCCGGTCCACATTCCTGACTCCAGCTTTTATGACTTAAGCGGCTTAAGCCAAAGCAGCATTGTAAGTCAAACTAGCTATTGTATAACTTAACGCAGTTCACATACCTAGTAAAACTTTACAACTCCATTATGGCAACAATGGACAGTAATAATCTTTGCAGTTCGGGTCCATTATAAGGGTGGTTTGGCTTAAGCCGGTTAAGTCATAAAAGTTGTATGTCAAGTGAGTTTTGTATACTTCCTTAGCTTACACTCAGGAAGTGAAATAGTTACAGGGGTTGAATCAAATAAAAGAGACACGTAGTATACATATACAATTTATATAATGAGCTAAACTGTTTGATCGTTTAAACTTAATTTGTTTTGGGATGGTTAAGGTTGAAAATAGGACTGCACTCTAATAAATCAACTTAACTGCGTTACATATTTAGAAAGATTATTATTTTCTTATTACTTATAAATTTCGTTTTTCTTATTTATCATATTGTAATGTTGCAAATCAGTTTGTCATTTGACCATATAATTTTTCACGCCATGTAAACACTGCAAAAATTTTGTGCCCTTTACCATAAAATTAATTCTTGATGTCTGCTCGAAGATATGTATAAATGTAGTACACATTTTTGTGACCCAACCAGAATCTCCGGAAATGTTCAAGAGTTGATGCAAGAAATTGCAAAACTACTAATGACATTAGTCGGCGTTAATTGTTTGTCTCTTGGCTGCTTAAATTTTGTATTGCGTGACAGTAAGATAAGTGAAGCAAAAAATAGAGAAATGTTTTTCTAATTTAAAATCTAAAATTTTAAATGTTATTTTTATGCCAAATTAAAAAAGAAATGGTTAGAAAATGTAAACGATCTCATTTGTAAAATGAATAGATTGCTCTTAATGATATATTTACGTGCAGAATGATATGTGTGACAAACTGTAACAAATTATAGATGGTATTCATTTTAACAAGCTGGGTTATTATAGAGCACTGGGTCATTTCGAAGGATATCCACCCCCTTCTAAAATCTGTTAGGTAACAAACTCTATTTTCATGTTAATTATACAAGTAGTCTCGCATTATTTATACTCTACATACTCGCATTTCGGTTATGCTTTCACAGTTTTTTTTTATAAAGTCGTTTCCCTTGATTTATTTGTAAAGTGATGAGAAGAAAACCATTAAATTAATGCAGAACTAATAAACGTAAAGAGAAAAATGTGTAAATACTTTCCCACTTTTTACTAATCAGTTTCACATAATTTACGACAATTATATGTAAATGGTCATCTAACACCAGTTAAGCGAATTCCAACTAGTTTTCCAGTTTTCGGATCAACAGTGGTGGCTATTTTACGACGTCATTGACAAGATTTGTTACTTTCGAGCGACTACTTCGTACCGCCTTGGTATTTCTGGTAAGTTGGTAAAGTGATTGTGAAAAAATTATCTATTCCTAACGGAAGGATGTAAATGTAGATAATAAAAAAACTTTATTGTATCTACGTAATAGTGTATCTACCGGAGCAGCAGGTAGCTATAATTACGAGATGGATCAGTGGATGTAATGGGTGTAAAAGGTTTTAGTTTACATCAACTTAATACAATGGGATTTTTGAAATACAACTTGCATAATATGCAAATCAGATGAGGAAACTGTTGATGTAGTACTTTCAGCCTTGAACTGTGTCATTGTTGATTATCAAAATTACGCACTTCCGCGCTATTCTGCAAAACTGTAAAAGTAAAAAAATAATAATGAAATCAGATTAATAAAGAAGTAAAAAATTCGACAAAACATTTAAAGATTAATAACGCGGTCAAAAATTTAGAGCAGATTGCGGAAGATATAATGTACTCCCATTATGTTATATTATAACCTGACAGGTTACGCAGCAGGTACTTCCCTTGTTATCTTTTTTTACCAGCAACTTATTTAAAATTAATCTGCCAATTTTTTTGGCTGCTAGGAATTTTTAGTCGTTAGTGGTACAATTTATTAATTTCCATTTATCGCTTTCAGTAACAATCAGAAAAACGACAATTAGGTAGCAAACTTTGCCCAATTCGTGCACCTTTATTTGAAAGTTAGTCCTAATTAATGTTTATTAATGTATGTAAACTAGTATTGAGTGCAAGTATTTAGACCTAACAAGACTAGAATAACAATGACAACACGAATTTCATTTGAAATCTTGACAACCAGAATTGATTTTGCTCATTTTGTTTACAGATAGGTACTGAAAAATGCCACCCGTGAGATGGAAACTGTCAGCAGGTGAGATGTGCGCTTAACAATACATTAGAATCCCGATTACGCGGCCTAATAACGGAGAAATTTAGTCGGTCATTTAAAAAACACAATCAACAGGAAAATTCTCTAAAAAATAGAAAGTATTCCACAAATGGTGCATCTGTCAATAAACCCGACAAAATTAACAGTATTACGCGACGACTATCAAATTCGTATCATTTTACAAAACTGTTGTTTCGGTGCAAACGTCAATCAGGGCGGAAATAATCGCCCGTTTCTGCTATAATTATGCTTTTATAAAGAAATTTAAATCTAACACCTCTTTTCTAATCTAGATCCATGTATCGAACAAAATTTAATTTATCGATGTGTCGGTTACTTAGTTTAATTGATCCTTTCTCCTCTGCATCGTCCATTAAATTTAACGCTAATTCTGCGATGGCTTAATTGTTATACATGTGTGTTAAAAATTGGCTTTTAATTGATTTTACAGTTACGATCGTGTGTTGTCTGCAAGTGTTGCTGCATGCAGAGGCTCAATTTAGACACGTGAGTTATTATTCATCGCGACTTTACTATCTATTCATCGAACTTTCTTTCTTTTTTTTTTAATCTAGGAACAAATCTCAGCAGATGGTTGGAGACCAATTGTTGGAACTCGAAAACCTCATTTTTACACTAGTTCACCTAGTGATTTCTACAAGTACGATGTTTATTCTACGCCACCCCCGTCCTATGCATCACCTACACCTACACCGGGACCCTCAAGAAAACCACATTTTCGGGGATCACCTAAGCCACATTATGCCTCAGGTAATTTAAAATTGGTAGGCAAATACAAGCACATTAAAATAAAAATATACTAAATTGTGTGGTACCCTCGGCCCAAGAACTTCACCAAGATTTTATAAATTCATCTCTCATTTTAATATAATTAAATAAAATAATAATAAATTAATTGTTTGAACAATGAAGTGTCATTATTCGTGAAATCAGAAAATGATTCTTATTAAGTATTATTGTTTTGAAAAATATTTTTTGATAATTCGAAATGTCCCGACAGTTTTCTTAGTGACAATACTTCTGTGACGATTAAGATTTAAAAAAAAATTAGCTCTATGCCACTTTAATTTTTAATGGAACAATCTGTTGTAGGTATGGCACTTTGTTTGAAAGTATTTGTTGCAAACAAATATATTGTTTCTCTAAAGACGATATTAACATAAAGAACATAAAAATAAGAAAACATGATTATGCTAATTTCACTGCTAACAAAGTTGTAAGTTAACAAAAAAGGCAATAAAATTCACATAAAAAGTAAAAATACATCGTTTACAACTGAAGTAAGCTCGTTCACCATTACATATTTCAGATAAGACTCTTTGTCTGACAAGTGTTTTGAATATTAATTACAATTAATAAATTTAAATGACCGGCATTCAGGCAAGACTTCTATCATTACGGGTACTAAGACTAAGTAATGATATGCATTGATTAGATTAACGAAAACTTTTTACATTCTAGAATTATAGTATACAAATTCCCCAAGAGGTTAGTGTAACTAGCGATTATTTATCCGCTCATCACATAAAAAGTGACCTACACTACTCTGACCTAGTGGTGCTAACCTATTTTGACTGACATGATCAGGCTGTTCGAAAAACTTACGGACAATATAACATCTTCTTAACAAAACAGTTTTTTGCATTTTGAAAATTACTTTAATTTGCTACTACTAATTAAGTATTTATTGCTGTTATTATTACATTACTTTTATTAATTTGATTTACGTATGCCTTTGCTTTTCCAATCGTTTGATTTAAGTGTTTTTGGCATAAACATGGCAGAGTACAGAAATTTTTAAGATATGTACATCGCACACCGGTAGAAGAAAACATTCTATCAAATTTTATTAGTCTCAAATGCCTACATGATGTAGCTGTAAACTCATAAATTTTGCTTGAGAGGTAGAAATCTGTACTTATTTAAATAAAATTTCTCTAGTCTCTGAAGCATATTGTCCAACAAATATCGCATTGGGTGACCGAAGTGTTTTTTTTTGTGAAAGTCTTATTCACTTTGATGAAGATATCACAAATACACTAATTTTGCGATATTAAACGTAAATGTAGGTAATTAAATAAATAAACGTGTTATTCCAAATTTCAACGAAAGAAATCGAAAATGTTCTGAAATCTCCATAAACTAAGTAGATAATTACATTTAAAGATTTCCAGAATAATTTGCTTTTGTTTAATCTAAATCAGAAATCTTAATTTAAACTAAATCTAGGACGAATGCGATTTCTGCCACGAATGAGAGTGAATTAAAAAATTATTAGAAGTATATTTTATATTAAACTAAAATGTAACAATATACACAGCAAACGTTGACAAAGATGTGAGTGTGTTATATGTTTTTATAAGATAACATACTCCTGTGCTTATTGTTTATGAATCCGCCTTGATTTTTAATTAGAATTACTTTACACAAATGTTTGTGTAATATTTGCCACGTGTTTAATATAACCAATGTTTTGGCCACGTATACAAGTCAAAAAGATCGTAGGCGAGTGAAATAAAGCTTTGAATTTGATCATCCTCCACACAGGTATTTTTTTTCTAAGGCACTGAATTTATTTGATGGCTTCAGGTGCGAGGAAAATTCTGCCTAAATAATTATAGTTCAATTTTTTTAGCAACGGAAGAATTATCAATTTAAATTTATATGACCCGGTACGACGCCGATGGGCTGCCGAGAGCTTTCTAGTAAGCGCGGCGATGACGAGTGAGTCATCATCGATGACGGTGGCTAGGCGGCGTTCCATAAAGACGAATCTGGAGCGGGTTACCGGAAGTCTCGATTGCGGGGCCCAGAAAAACATCGAAGCGGGGTTCTCGATCCATCGAGAGGAACGTATAGATTTAAATAGAGGCCACCGTCGGGAACGGGATTATTCAGTCAATTCAGTCCACGAGAGTAAAGTTAAGTTGCATCGGAATTATTTTGTACATAATCACTGTGTAATCAGTCGTGTAAATTCAAGTTATTAAGAAGCATGATATAATAATTCTCTAGTATGACACTCGTGCGGCTCAAAATGAAACAGTTCGCGCAGTGACGTCACTCGGTGAGTAGAACTATAAGAATTTCAACATAAAAGCACGAAGAATCGCTAATGTTTTTGATTTTATTGTTATAATTCGTTATGTATTTTAAAAAAATGTGTTGTACAACCTCTATATTATAATATAATAATTATAATGCTGCATGAAACAACCTGAAAACTAAATATACGTGAATTACCTGAATTAAATTGTATTACTATTGTGTGCAACAAATTAAAATTTCGCGTTTAATATTATTTTTCATGCACTCAATAGAAAAGTGCGGCTTTAATTTGGAGATAATTATAAAAAAAAAGTACTATTTTTCTCGTTAGTAGCGCACAGGTTATTTGAAAATGCAAATATCTTCAGAATTACTCCCTCCGTCCGAAAATATGGTATACATTTGAAACTTTATTTAATAATACTATTATAACGACAATAGATTTCAATTTATGGGACTTTGTTTAGAGCTTCTGGAGAACATACTAATCTCGTTGGTAACCTTCCCTCACGACGAAGTTTGGATTTATTAAGATAACGAATTTTATACTTAAAATTAAATACTTAAATAAATAAATTAGATTATTACAATATATTATTATTATATTATTATAATAAATAATGTACCTATTTAATTTAATTATTCTTGCTATAACCTCTTATTTTTTAAATTCAATGGGTATTGATTTATTTTGTTGTTATTGTAGTAATTTTCTTGGTCACTTTTTTAACAGAAACGAACGTACATCTCAGTCCACTATTTATACGATGTTCCATTATTATTTTTTATAATAACAAGTTGCAAATAAAATTACTTGATTATAATTTGCTGGTCATAACTCGTTAATTATAGTAATTTTGTAAATTGTATATCATATTTTCGGACAGAGGGAGTATCCATTATTGGTTTTTTTAGATTTTTATTTGATTATCATAAACAGACTTGTTGTTATGGTAATTGTGCACATTTAACGTGAACATAATTATCTTGAATAGAAATCTACTTTAGAAATTCTGTTCTAAACTTTTAAAAATTGGGGACAAGAAAAAGTAACCAATAAAAATAAATACAATGCACTACTGAACTGTAATCTACATGTTAATTAACAATTTTTCGATGATTTGTTTTGGAGTGAAAATTGTTTTCATAGCTTGATTTTCTTTTACAAGTTCGTCGTTTTGTTTTTTAAGATAAGCAATTTTTGCTTCTAGATCTTCTCTCTGTATATCTTGATCTGTATTTGTACTAGGTAAAAAAAACATAATTAAATATTGGATGTAATTCTTCAAAAAAAGCACTTTCCTTGAGTAAATACAATAAATGTTCAATATACCCAACAAATTTACTTATATATTCTGTTTTATCATCCAAAGCAGCACTTGCGTCATTGGTTTCTGTGCTATAGAATAAATGAAAATATAAAATAATTGCTAAAAAAGAGTACTATAAGATGTTCTTTGGAAATATTTTTTTAAATTGAATTTGTTTGTTTTATATCAATATTCAAGTAAAATAACCTACTTAATTTCTGCGATTTCATCCCTAGAACAAATTTCTTTAACTAACTTGGCTGATCTCCAGACTTTAGTTTTTTTTCCTTTTTTAAGAAGATAATTCAGAAGTACGTGTTGCAAATTTCGTTTGAAATTGTCTTCACTAAAATGCTGTGAACACACACACTCTTGCATTTTTTACTATAAAAGAGTCCGAACGACAACAAGAAATAACCCATTCTTGTTCCTTGGAAACGAATAAAATTGTATGTCTTTTTGAAAACGTCTCCATTGTTTATCGCTATTACACACAAAAACGCCACAACGCATCGTTGTAACTTTATAAAATTATTAAAACATAACGTGTAGTCACTAAACCTTCTAAAAAATACGTGGAAAACAGAAAAACGTCGCAGAATACTCGCGAAATGCCTGTGTTTACTCACCGAGTGACGTCACTCCCCCACTCCGTACGTGCGCAATATCATACCTAGTATTTATTGTATCATGATTAAGAAGGACATTGTTGAGTTTAACCCACGCCGATTTTTAAATACCTGTTCAACGTAACACTGCTATCGGAAGTGAGATTTGAGATTAATAATTGGTTTTACGACGACTTCCGGGCAGATCAGACAAGAATTCTGACGAGTTTATGCCTGTCGAGACGAGAACTCAAGCTGCGAAAATGGAAGAAAAGATTATGGCTATGCTTTCAAAAATAGACGAGTAAATTGAACAAGAAGCAAAGAAATGGACGAAAAAATGGACGCAAGAAACAAGGTAATGAACGAGAAAATGGACACAAGAATGGAAAGAATGGGCGCATGCATGGAAGAAATGAACCAAAAAATGAATGCAAGAGATGAAAAAATGAATGCAACAATAGAAGAGATGAACGAAATAAAGAAATGAATGAAAAAAATGGATGCAAGAATGGAAAAGATTGACGAAAAAAGATAAGGACATTAGCCTGACTGAAAAGTTCCCAAAGAAAGTGGAAGCAAACAAGAATGAAATAGAAAGAAGAAATGAAGAACGTAAAAAAAATTTGGAAAATATAGAAAATATTGTCGAACGAAATATTATCTCAATGGAACATCAGTTAAAAAGTGAGTTAGAAAAATCAGTGGAATGTGTAGAAGATCGAATGGAGAAGAAAGTGTAAGATCGAATGAAATCTATGGAAGATAGGATGGAAAGTACAAT